AGCAGGAATTTTTATTAGCAAGGGAAAATTATCATAGTTTTGACCTAAAAAGCAGGGACCAAGTCTCAACTGTGACATTCTGTGGGGATTTGGAGGCAAGTGTCCATGAAGTCCAATAGCCTGGCCTGAAGGTCTGAATATCTGAGTTTCTAAATAATGACAAAACATTACTGATAAACTGACTGGCATCTTAGGATTTCAACTACTCATCTGTGAAGGAAACAGGAAATGCCAGCTCTGTGTATGACACGGAGAAGGGGGTGAGGTTTAAGGAGGCAATGGCTTCTTTATTAGTTGTTTAGTAGAATGGTCCTCTGCTAGAAATCTGTTTCAACCATCATCTGAATACCCCTTTAACTATCATTCTCTTGATCACAGGAGAGAGTTAGTCCATTCTCACTGTCAGCAGAGCCACTTGGGTCACTGCCCTGGGCACCCTCTTGGTCGTGCCACTGATGACAGCTAGTGACAATGAGCATGAGAGTGCAGAGTCAACCTGGCAGCCCTGCTTGGACCTGTCTGTCCCCCCAGCAGGCCCGATGTGGAGCAGTCGCATGGATGCTGTGCACATTTGGGCTCCGGGGGACACTAAGCCCTAAGACCACGGGTCCCAAATTCTCTGGCGGTCCCTCCATCCACATCATCTGCCCTAATCACGGTGGATTGTGAAATATGTCCAGAAACTTGATTTCCTTTTTATGCCTTGTTAGATTTCTTACATCAATTCACGACTATGAAAGAAAAAAATCATTTGTCACCCTCTCTAAGAAAACACACATCTGGAAGGTACAGTCACAAAGCTCCCAGATAATCGTTTAGTAAAAGGGTGGGGTGCTATTTCTCAGATTGAATGACAGAATTGCACCAGGCAGCTTTGTCTATAAGCCTGACTGCTGGTGAGTCAGAAGCATACTCGCCGCCCCCCTCTCCTCCAGGAGCTATCACTTGTGGGGAAAAAGTACATTGTGGGAGGGGTAAGAGGAAGGACAGGCATCTGTGTAACCGTTTTAGCTTCCTCTCCATGGAGGCTTCTGTTTACCAGTTAGTTTGCTGGGGGCCCTGCTGTGTCCTGGGGTGTGTGCTCCTTAGAGGAGGAACCCTTTCAATATAGAACATCACAAAGTGGGAGGCTAACAGTGCTCGCGGGTAACAGCTGATAATCCCCTCACACGCGCGCACACGCCTGGAGATACGTGGAAGAACACTGTGGGCAGGTTTCACAAAGAGAAAAGCAAAAGGGTGGGGGGAGGGAAGAATGATCCCAAAGGCACGAGGGCTTTACCTTCCCAAAGGTCCACGGTCTGAAAAATGTCAGTGGTCCTGACGCCGTAGATCTCCGCAGCTTTTAGGAACTGGGAGATTTGCTCCATCTGCTTAAAAGCCATCTTTGACTCTGAGATCTTGGGAATGGGCTCTTGTCCGGGTGGGTATAAACTGTTTATCAGCTTGCATAAGACCTGAAGAGGGAAAGGGGGAGGTAGAATCAGCGGTTCCCTTTGTGTTTACCCCTCCCTAATGCAAAGTGAATCCTGGGCCTCACAGGGCACAGCCCACAGGTTTGAGCATGGGCCCATCTTGCACCCCAGGAAGGCATGGGTTCTGAGCTGGGTGGCCAGGCTCCCATACCGAACCCCAAAGACCCGGGCGACTCCATTCTCAGGGCTGCTCCTGACCACAGAGAGCCCGGGAGTCCTCTTCCCTGCTTTCCTTTTGCTGAGTGAGGGAAAGAAGGTTTATGGAGAGGGAATGATGTGCAGTGATGAGGCCACGATTTCAGACTTTCAATGGAGGGAAGAGTTAGTGGCTCCCGGAGAGATTAAATGATGGACTCTAATATTATTTCTTCTTTCAAAAGGCAGATCAGAATCAGGCTTCAATAACTCATCCAGTAAAAGCTAATGATGTGTAAAGGAGCCGAACTGGGTGGGTACCCCCAGATCTCTATAACCAAAGCGCTGGGCATAACCGGACAGAAGCCTGGAATAGCAGTTATGTAACAGTAACTCACAGCCTGCAGGAAAAGACAGGCTTGCTGGAATCAGCAGAGCCTGTGGTCTCCAACCACCCAAACACACAGGAGCATCTCCTTAGAAAAGCAGTTATCACATAAGGATTCCCTTCAGTTTCAAGAGAATCCATCCATTCGACAAACAGGCATTAAGCATCCCCAAGGCTATGGCTCCAGGAAGAATGGGAAGGCGGTGAGTCCTGCCCCTCCAACCCTTCCTTTGTTTTACTATGTATCCAACCTATTCCCCTGGGGGAAGGAGTGCCGCCGCCGCCGCCGCCGCCGCCGCCCCCCCACCCCCACCCGCCAGAGGAGCTGATGCACCAAGAAGGCTGGAGAGATCCCAAGGAAATACTTATCTCTATTCTCACTGGAAAAAGCAAAAGGACTTCGAATTTGCCAACAACTCAGAAGGAACCTGTGATGTCTGGGATGGGTGGAGAGTCTTCTAATCTAGCGAGGGAATTGTGCAGGGAGCCCAGACCTTCCAGTCCCGATGAGATAAAGGCATTCCCGTCCCCCTCCCCCTGAGAAGGAGCTTGGCAAGGCGCAGCTCCTCCGGCGGCCTCTCATTAAAAGAGGAGACCCTGGAGGGTTTCCCAGCCCACCGCCGCAGCATCCGAGATCGCTGCCCGCCCTTACCGTCCCGTCCATTAGCCATTTCTGAAAATGGGCCCTGCCAGGGGGCGGGTGCTGTATGTCCTCGGCGCACTGCAGGATGATCCAGTCTACCAGCTTGTTCTCCAGGTCTGCGTCGTACTTCTGCTCGATCTTCTCCTGCACCTCTCGGCTTAAGCCGTAGCTCGGGCCCCTGTTAGCCATCTCTGGAAGAGAAGAGAGGACACGCGGGGCATCCACACAATAGCAGCAGCAGCCCGGGCTCCCGGCAGACGGGCTTGGGATGTGGCTGGGCCGCCTGGCCCAGCAGCAGCAAAGCCGGCAGAAAGCCGGGCGTGGTTTAAATGAAGGAGCCAATGAAGCCACTGGGGTTTCACCTACAAATGGGAAGGAAAAGCGCAGCGCCAGTGACTCTTAGAATAAAGCCCCTGCCGGTCCAGGGGGGCTGGAAGCCCCCGTCTCAGTCCCGTCTATCAGTGAGACGAAACGATGCACACAATGACTCACAATCAAGCCTGAAGCCCCCAGGCAGCAAGGGGGCTGGGGGGGTGGTCGTTTCTTCCCTCCTCCCAGGAACACTTTGCAAAGGCAGGAGCCCTGAGATGGGAAAGAGCAGGTAATTAACAGGCCGGGAGGAAGGCCCCCTTGACGTAGAGCTGCGGATGCTGCATCGCGCCTGGAAGAATGGTACACTGATTCTATTTTCTCATGGCTGAGGAGGGTCAAACCAGGGCCGTTGCTAAGAGCCGTCCAAAAAGCCAGCCCTCTCGTGTGTCAGTCTAGCCCGCCCGCCTCCCTCCCGCTGAGAGCGGCTTTCTCAGCAGCACAATTCTTCCCCCTCCTCTGGGGAACAGCCGGTTGTACACAAGGCCAGCGCACAGCTGCACAGGGAACGAGGCCTGTGGGAGGGTCCATTCCCTCAGCTGTCCATCTGTCAGGAGTTGCCAAACCACTTTCCCCCTGCCTGGAGGGAACAGTTGTCTGGTGGGGCAGGAGGGGCGGGGCTGTAAGCTGCAACCATTAGCTTGTTCAGCTGTCAGCCAGATTTCATCCCGAAACTTCCAACCTGGTGGGAAACTGTTGTGCCTCAGTTTGACTTATTCAAGGAATGTAGCGTTTTAATGCCATTTTTAATCGAAAGACACTGGGAGTACGTTTTATAAATTACAAGGAGCTCAACGTGCTAAGAAGGCTTGGAGTGAAAGGTCTTGACAGAGTGTAAAGATTTCATCTGTTTAATTAAGGACCAGAAAGGCACCACTGACACACTGTCAGTGGTAACTGAGTATCTGGTGTGAGCAAACAAGACCTCGGGAGAAATCATTAGACCTAAGCTGGCCTGAAATTTTTATAAATACTGAAGGGCTTGGTAGTTTGTCTTCCTAGACTATAAGCCACTTGGGAATAAAGATTAAGTCTTGTTGGTGTTGGGTAAGTCTTTGGGTATTTTTCATGGGAAAAAAACACCAGAAATTTTGTTCTTTGGTTCATTCAACGACTATTTTTTTTGAGCACTTAACTGTGCCAAGTTCTGTGCTGGCGAGAAATAAAATGTAAATTTTTCCTCTAGAACAGATTGATCAATTGACTCAGAACATTAGATAAAACAATTTTAGTACGTGGGATAGCGATCCTTGTCCCTGTGGGAAATTGATTAGAAGCTATTCGGGGAAATGACCTCAAACAATACATGTATTGAGAAAAATCTCCTGCCAGCTGGGGCCTGGACTCTTGAAAATTTAATTACTTAGTAGATATGTGGGTGGTTTGCTTGAGAAAAGACTTAGTGGTCAGTAGTTGAAGGCATAGGAGAGAGAGCTCTGTGAAAACCGGTTGTGAGAGAATCAGAGCTTTGAGGAGAGGAGTAGTTTAGAAAAAGGCATGACAAGGGCTGATGGTTGCAGGTCTGGATGCTGAATGGAATCGTCAATTGAAGAAGCTTTAAAGGCAGCAGAGCTGGTTCCAAAGACTTGGAGCTCGGGGGTAGAGCTCAGAGCAGGGAAGTTGTCAGCAGAATTTTGGAAGTCACTCAGTTGCATCTTGGTGGCAGCAATAAGGTCAGTTCCAACCCGGGGCTAAGGAAACAGAAGCCCAAACAGGAAGCATGTTATTTCCTCTGTGGCTGGAATTGCTCTAAGGAAGATGTTGGTTTGTTAAAAAAAAAAAACAGAAACAATTCTAAAAGATGTACGTTTGCCTTTTTTTTTTTCCAGACTCTGTTTTGCAGATCTTTTGTACCCGAAGATGTTTTTGCCATTGTAACAAAATATGTGGGGTACTTTAAATGAATGATTGAAATCATGGTTCTGGAGAGGATACAATGGCAAAGAGGAGAGTCCAAGCAAGGCCTAGAAGGTTAGAAGTGTCCAGAAATCCATAGGAAATCATTAAAGAAAAACCACTTGATCCCCTGTGTGGTGACAGTGGAAACTGGCTCAAACTTCTGTTTACTGAGTGCCTATAAATATTATAATTTTTTCAACAACTTTTTAAAAGGGTCTATGTATCTGAGATTTAAAAAAGAAATGAATGAGATATGGCAACATGGTCTACCAGCAACATTAAACTTGTAAACCGTAAATGCCAACCAGGTGTCATGCTAAAAATATGCACAGGGTACTCAGGTACATTTATATCTGGAGGAAGAGGGTAGGAAATTAGCGAAAATATTTATGAATGAGATGACTTTAAGTCTCAAAAGAGACTTAGGTGTTTTAAAAACTTAGGTGTTTGCCTAGTGAATGGGATGAGGCAGGAGGGATTGGGAACGTTGCTGGCAAAGGCAGCTTATTTAAGAAGGTGAACATGTTCTAATATCAACAAAACATAGGGTTAAAGGGAAGAGACACAGAAATAAAGCGGGAATGTCAGGCAGTCTCCAGATCACAAAGTAGAGTGCTTGCAAATGTCCATGGTTAAATTTTCAGGAATTTTGAAAGCCAGTTGTTAAACTCAGCCGCTGTAACCACTTAAATTATGTAAGCTTACACTTAAATATGTTATATTAAAAGCAAAGGTTAAATACTCAAAATGGATCACTTCTTAATTTATTTTGCTACATTTTACTATTACTTATGTTTTCGAGGATATTTATGCTTATTGTCTCTATATGGGGTATATACTATGTAACAGTTTGGTACTGGCCATGTCTTCCCAGCTTCCTTTTATTCAGTGACGTCCCAGTGGTAGCTTTAAACCAGCTATGACAAGAGTATAGCTGGTTGTTGGCAAATGCTGCAAATCGGGGCTCCTCTCCCCACCCAGCTAGTTGTTGAATATTTACTGGCCTTGCCACTGGGCTTATGTATCATGCAAATGAGCTTGAGTGTTTTCATAGGCAAAAAGAACCATCAGATCTGATTTAGGTGAGGGAAAAGGAGAGGGTCAGAACGACTCAAGGATTTGATTTGTATAACACGGCTCATGGTTGCACCAGTTATTGCAAGGGGACCATAAGTGGAGAGGTACATAAAGGGGGAAGATAATAGCGTTTGGACTTAACTGCATTTGGGAAGGCCACCACAATCCATCCCGGTCATTCAGTTTTATGCATGTGGAGCTAAAGAGAAAAATCTGGAATGAAGGAAAGTACTTGAATCATCTGCATGCAGGTAGCAGTTAAAACCAGGAACCTGTGTGAAGTTGCTCAAGGTGAATAAGTAAGTTGCATGAGAAGAGTGCCAAGGTCAGAACAGAAGGGAATATTAACAATACAAAGTGTGTAAGGAGATGGTGTGGCATGGTCAGGGACACCTGGGGTTAAAGAGTGTCAGAACAAAGCTCCTGATCTCAATGGTCCTTTGAGAGAGGGAGGTTGGCATATAAACTGAGAATTTCCATGTAGTAAGTTCTATTAAAAAGGCCTCAGTGGAGTGCTGTTCATGAGAGAGCACAGAGGACCCACCATCAAAATTCTTGGACACAAGAGATGAGGATGAGGCAGGAAAGGCTTCAGTGAGAAGCTGAGATTTGAGCTTCTTTTCGAGTAGAAGTTTATCTGTCAGTAAAAATCTGAAAGCTCAAGAAAATAGAGAGGACAGTTTCTTCAAAAGACAAATTTCGTTTAAAAAAATTACCTACATTTTTCTAGGTATGTTCTCTAAATGTACCAAAGCATCATATTTTTTCATTAAACCAAGTTATGCGTATTACATGATTGTGTTTCTAAACTAAAAAGTGACTTTAGGTCTGCAATGAAAGGGGATCTTAAAAAGGTATATTGGGACTTCCCTGGTTGCGCAGTGGTTAGGAATCCGCCTGCCGATGCAGGGGACACAGGTTCGAGCCCTGGTCCCGGTAGATCCCACATGCTGCGGAGCAACTAAGCCTGTGCACCACAACTACTGAGCCTACGCTCTAGAGCCCGTGCTCCACAACAAGAGAAGCCACCGCAATGAGAAGCCTGCGCACCGCAACGAAGAGTAGCCCCTGCTCGCCACAACTAGAGAGAAAGTCCGCGCGCAGCAACGGAGACCCCAAACAGTCAAAAATAAATAAATAAATACACTTACATTAAAAAAACAAGTTGGAAAATCTTACTGGTTCTTTCCTTTAAAAAAAAAAAAAGGGTATATATAAATTCCACCATCTTCTTCCTTCAGAAAATGAGTTCCTTAGTTGTTTGTTTTTTTAACAGCTTAAAATGTAATGAAAAGTCAACATATCCCCTTTGGGCACTGCCTTGGGAATGGTTATGTCGCAAGTAATGTTCTCCTTGCTCTGCGTCTCCGTGCTTTATAAAATTCAGCCTTGTCCAAAGCTCTTTTCCTCTTCTCCTCACAGACCTTTCTACTGGCTGCTCAGAGAACAGCCTACTGTGTAGATTTGTGTCTGGAAGTACCTGGAAGCTCAACAGATGCTGCAAAAGCAAATGTATTCTCTGGTCTCATTAGCCTTCCTCTCCATTGGCATTGGCCTTATCCCCTTCCATTGCATGCACTGAGATTGTTTAGAGGGGTCATGTCGCTGCTTTTAAATCAGTGCAGGGGTTCCAGAGGATAGGCACTGAGGGCCTGCTGGCTGTTCAAGCACTTTCCATGTCACTGAATACAAGGCATGGAGTGGTTTTAGAAAAAAAAAAAAAAAAAAAGAGCTTTGGGAGAAAAATAGAAAAGAACACTAAAGGAATTAACAATGTACTAGAATACACTAAATCTCACTGCTTCAAACTCATTTGGTATTTATGATGCTAACCTCTGCAAAGCTAGATTAAATTTTAAGACAGCTTTTCCTGCCTTTAGATAGTCAAGTTTCCTCCCCCTCCCTTTTCCTAGCCATTGATGGATATGGATACCATACAGCTAACATTCCAATTTGGGATCTTGAGGTTAGGGAGTTCCAATCCAGCTCAGTTTCAGAAGACCTACTCACTTCCTTGCCTCCACTTTCCTTCCTAAATCCCTAAGAATTGTGCCCTCCAATTTCTCACTGGACTGTGTTTTGTGCACATAAAAATACAAGTGAAATGGTAGTGACTCTTATGTGTCATTGTTCTAAACGTGTTGTGCTTAACCCTTACACTTTATTAAGTAGGTTTATATTATGACATTTTACAGATGAGGAAACCTCAGGGAGGTTAAGTAAATGGCTCAGTCACAGGGCTAGTAAATGGTGAGCCAGGACTTAAACCCAAGCTCTGGAGTCTGTCTTTAACCGCTGTATGTACTGCCTCTACAGAAATACTATGTATCTCCAATCATATTTATCACATTTTATTATAATTATGTTTAACCCTAGAAAGCTCTAAAGGGCAGGGCCCTTTTCTCATCTTTCTAATCCTCATGCCTAGCAGTGTCTGGGCAGCTTAGGCCCTGGAAGACACACCCTGCCATCCTGTAATAACCCACTCTAGCACCAGGCAGTGTGGCACACTGATGGTATTTTTGGT